CTGCAAATTTCAAGATGTTATTGTTTCTTACCACCAAGTAGTACTCCATTGTGTAACTGTATCACATTTTCTTTTTCCATTCTTCAATTGAGGGACAACCAGGTTGTTTCCAAGTTCTGACTATTATGAATAATGTTCCTATGAACAAGGTTTAGCAAATGTCCTGGTGGTGTGAGTGTGCCTCCTTTGGGTATATGCCCAAAAGTGGTATTGTAGAGTCCTGAGATACAGTGATTACTAATTTTGCACCATACTGATTTCCACAGCAAGTGTACAAGTTTGCACTCCTACCAGCAATTGAAGAGTGTTCCCCTTACTCCACATCCTCTCCAGCGTAAGTTGTTATCTGTGCTTTTGATCTTAGCCATTCTGATCAGTGTCAGGTGGAATCTCAGAGTTGTTTTGATTTGCATTTCCCTGATTACTAAGGATGTTGAGCATTTATTTCCTTAAGAGTCTTTCTGCCATTTGAGATTGTTCTGTTGAGAATTCTCTGTTTAGATCTGTACCCTGTTTTTTAATTGGATTATTTGGTAGTTTGATGTCTAGTTTCTTGAGTTCTTCGTACATTTTATATGTTTGGTTGTGAGCCTAGCCTTTAACGGCTGAGCCATCTCTCCAGCCCTCTTTGTACATTTTAGAGATCAGTTCTCTGTCAGATGTGGGTTTGGTGAAGATCTTTTCCCATTCTGTAGGAAGCCATTTTGTCTTGTTGACTGAGTTCTTTGCTTTATAGAAGCTTCTCAGTTTCAAGACGTCCCATTTATTTATTGTTGCTCTCAGTGTCTGTGCTGCTGGTGTTCTATTTAGGAAATAGTCTCCTGTGCCTATGTGTCCAAGGGTATTTCCTACTTTCTCTTTTATTAGGCTCAGTGTGGATAGATTTATACTGATGTCTTTGATCCATTTGGACTTGAGTTTTGTGCATGTCAATAGACATGGATCTATTTACATTCTTCTACATGTGTATACCAGCACCATTTGTTGAACATGCTTTCTTTTTTCCATTTTATATTTTTAGCTTCTTAGTTAATATTAGGTGTTCATAGGTATGTGGATTTATATCAGGGTCTTTGAATATACAGGGTCTTTGAATACATTGATCCGCCTGTTTGTTTTTATTCTAATACCAAGCTGTTTTCATTATTTTAGCTCTATAATAGAACATGAAGTCAGGGATGGTAATGCCCCAGATGATCCTTTATTGTACAGGATTGTTTTTGTTATCCTGAGTTTTTTTGTTTTTCCATATGAAGTTGAAAATTTCAATGCCTGTGTAGAATTGTTCTGGGATTTTGATGTGGATTGCATTGAATCTGTAGATTACTTTTGGTAGGATTGTCATTTTTACTATGTTAATCCTACCTATCTAAGAACATAGGAGATCTTTCCATTTTCTTATGTCTTCTTCAATTTATTTCTTCAAAGACTTAAAGTTCTTGTCATACAGGTCTTTAACTGTGTGGCTAGAGTTATCCCAAGATATTTCATGTTTTATTTGTGGCTATTGGAAAGGGTGTTATTTCTCTGATTTCTTTCTCAGACCATTTATCATTTGTGTATAGGAGGGTCTCTGATATTTTTGAATTAATCTTGTATCCTACTATATTACTGAAGATGTTTGTTAGTTGTAGGAGTTCCCTGGTAAAATTTTTGGGGTCACATCAGCAAATAGCAAGAGTTTTACTTCTTTTCCAATTTATATCCCCTTGATCTCCTTTTGTTGTCTTATTGCTGTAGCTAGAATTTCAAGTACTGTATTGAAGAGATATGGAGAGAGTGGACAGTCTTGTCTTGTTCCTGATTTCAGTGGAATTGTTTTAAATTTCTCTCCATTTAGTTTGATGTTGGTTGTTGGGTTACTGTATATTGCCTGTATTATGTTTAGGTATGTTCCTTGTATCTCTATTCTCTTCAAGACCTTTATCATGAAGGGATGTTGAATTTTGTCAAAGGCTTTTTCAGCATCTAATGAGATGAACGTGTGTTTTTTTTTCATTTTATTTATATGGTGGATTACATTGACAGATTTTTATATGTTGTGCCATTGCTGCATCTCTAGAATGCATCTTACATGGTTATGGTGGATGATTGATTTTTCTGATGTGTTCTTGGATTCCATTTGCCAGTATTTTATTGAGTATTTTTGCATCAATGTTCATGAGGGAAATTGGTCTGTAAATCTTAGTTGTGTCTTTGTGTGGTTTGGGTATCAGGGTAACTGTAGCCTCCCTCTGCACTTGCTACCTTTAATTTGAATGGTCATTTATGTTACTGGTTCTGTCAACTATACTTTTATGATCTTTATTTTACTAAAGTATGAAGCAATTTTCTGGATTAGTATTTATTGAGTTTTTTTTTAATTTGCAGGGCTTTTTTTTCCTGTGTTAGAATCTTAGTAGAAATGCTTAGCTTATTTCTATTTTTCCTATTTCCAAATACATATGATTAGAAAATTTACATTCTTGAACATGTTTTAGCTCATGTAAGTATTGGTATGTGGATACTGCCATTCCATCCTGAATATTTTTTAATATTTTTTCTTAAATATACAAATCATTTATTATATATAAATTTCTTCATGTGAAGGCTGGGAATATAACTCAAGGGCATAGCACTTGCTTACATTCACAACACCCCAGCTTTGTCCCCAGCAACACATAAATTAGGCATTGAGGGACACATAGAACTCTATACACAAAGGAGGGGGAAGGAGAGGGGAGAAATCTTTTTCTCTGTGAGTTTTTTGAGAATAGGTGTTCCCAGCCACAAAGAAATTTCTGGGAAGTATCACAAGCAAGATAGTTCAAGATGACCAAATGGCTAATGGGCAATGTCTTGAATCCAATCTCCTGGTTAGAGCTTTAACAATCAGATCCTGAATGCCTGTGTAGCCTTACTCCAGGAACTTTCAGTGTCTTATACAAACAGAGCTTAAATCCTAATGACCCATGGCAGCCCTTAATTCCAAAAAGCCAGTCCCAAGAAAGGCAACTGGTACTCGAAAATTTATTACGTAAGACAGTGAGGGGCCTGGTCATCCATCCACAAATGGCACTTGGATAAAAGATAAGACTAAGTGATTTCCTTTAACTGGAGTCTGGTTAAGCAGTTCTTTGAGAGAATATGCCTGCTACATCCATCTCTGCTAGCAACATATTTTTTTTAAACTTTTTTCACTCAATATTTTCCAGTGGCTGGAGAGATGGGTCAGCAATTAAGAGCACCAAGTGCTCCTCCAGAAGACCTAGTTTCAATTCCCACATCCACATGGCAGTTCACAGCCATCTATAACCCCAATTTCAAGGGATGTGAAACCATCTTCTGGCCTCTGTGAATATCAGGCACAAAAGTGATGCACAGATACACATGCAGACAGATCACCCACACACATTTAAAAATAATAAAATAAAAAGCCGTGTTAACCATGTATTTAATCGCAGCACTCAGAAGGCAGAGGCAGGAAGATCTCTGTGAACTTGAAGCCAGCTTGGTCTACACAGTGAGTTCCAGGAGCAGTCAAAGCTACATAGAGAGACCCTGTCTCAAAAACTCAAAGAAACAAATACATTTTTTTCATTTTAAATTAAATATTTGGTATATTTGTCCTAGTCTAGTAAATATATTTACCATTGTACTTTCAATTTGTCACTGTCATTTCTAGCAGAATTGTAAGGATCACTTTTTAGATGTTTTATCCCCACTACTACCAGCAAACCTATACAGTATACGTGCAAAAGAAAATCTGTCTTAGAAGAGAATTCTGTGGCTAAGCAAAGACTATACTGACATGTACTTTCCCTAATATCTAAACTTAGACACACATTAATCAGCTTCCTATCTCTGACTGCCAAGGCACTTAGGTGAATTCTCCTATTGCCTGCACCTGACTCTCAAGCGCGTCTTGTCTCCTGTTTAAATAATAAACTCACTAACTTTACTTTTCTCAGGGTTATCCTGAAATTCCTTTCCATGGGGAGCACAAGGTTGTAGTGCTGACACCACTGAGTTCCTGGTGTCGGTGACACTGCTGCTGGTTTACAGCTCCAGCCGAAGAACTGACTTTTTTCCTTCTGAAAAGCGGTTTCTCTGTGTAACAGCTCTAGCTGTCCTGGAACTCACTCTGTAGACCAGGATGTCCTCAGACTTACAGAGATCTCCCTGCCTCTGCCTCCCGAGTGCTGGGATTAAAGGCAAACACCACTGTCGCCCAGCATAAAAACATTTATTTATTTTATTTTTATTTACATATTTACTTATCTATCTAATGTGCATGTGTGTGCATGTGTGCATGTGTGTGCGCGCGTGTGCGCGTGCGCGCATATACTCGTATGTCCGTGTGTAGATCAGAGGACAACTTGCAAGAGTCACCAATCTTCTTCCAACCTATGGGTCCTAGGGAGTAAATGCAGGTTGTCAGGTTTGATGGTGGGCATCACTCACTGAGCCAAAAGAAAAAGAGAGATGGTGACAGAGGCACAGAGAGACAGAGAGACAGGGTCTCAATGTGTGGCCCAGACTGGTCTGGAATTCCGCTCTGTAGACCAGGCTGGCCTTGAATTTACAGAGACCTGCCTGCCTCTGCCTCCCGAGCGATGGATTAAAGATGTGTGCCCCTACTTCTAGCACACTGAGCCATCTTACAAGCACATTTTACAATATTGTAGCCAGAATTTTAGGACAAAAGTCCTGGTTCTGTCCCTCTTGACTAGCTCACGGCAGCCATTGCTCTGGCCTTTATAAACAAACAAACAGCATTAATAAAGGGGACAATGAGGAAAAGCATACAGAAGAGATTTAGTCAACATGCCGGGTTATTAAGGCTTCACGTTTAAGATGAGGTAGGACGGGAGCAAAGGGTAAGAAGCATGCAGAATTACGCAGTCCTCAGACTGTAATTCCCAGCGAGCAGTGAATTTCTCAGTGCTGGTTAAGCAAGATAATCCAGAAGTTGTTATTGTTAGGGTGGAGGGGGAGGGAAGTCACAAACTGTTCTCAGAAAATGGATCTATGCTTCAGGGAACAGCCTCCACGTTGTGGTGATTGCCATCAGCCGGGAGTAGTCTGTCCTCTTGGACTCTGACTACAGCCTTAGGACAATGGATTTCCTCTGTGCATTCAGCCTTGACAGACTGTGAAATACGATCTTGAGAGACACTTCGGTGAAGAGTTCTTGCTGCTCTTCCAGTGGATCAGAGGTCAGTTCCCAGTACACATATCAGACAACTCACAATTGCCTGTAATTCTAGCTTCAGGAGATCTCACACTCTCTTCTGCTCTCCATAGGTACCTGCGTGCGTGCGTAAGTGTGTGTGTGTGTGTGTGTGTGTGTGTGTGTGTGTGTGTGTGTGTGTAATAAGTTAGACAGATACTCAGTGGTTAAAATGCCTATTCAGAATCAGGTAGGATCTGACCCAAAGGCAAGACCAACACAAGGTACAGAGTTCTCAGGCTTTATACTGATTTTAGTCACCTATGGGGCAAAGAAAAAATTAATTAAAAAAATAGCAACAGCAGTACCTAAATGCCTATTATGAGAAACACAGAGCTACAGGGCAGTGGTGGGGCACACCTTTAATCCCTGGGAAGCAGATGCAGGAAGATCTCTGTGAGTCTGAGGCCAGCCTGGTTTACAAAGCAAGTTCCAAGACAGCTGGGGCTCTTAGACAAAAGAAACAAACAAAACAACAACAAAAAATAAATAAAGAAAAAGAAACAGAGTTACTCACACCTCTTTTTTATATAAATTTTATTTAAATTAGAAACAATCTTATTTTACATATCAACCCCAGTTCCCTCTCCCTCCCATCCTCCCATCCCCCCCCCCACGACCTCCCATCCATTCCCCAGGGAAGGTGAGGCCTTCCCTGAGGGATCATCAAAATCTGTCAAGTCATTTAGGGCAGGGCCTAGGCCCTCCCCTGTGTATCTAGGCTAAGAGAGTATCCCTCAATGGGAAATGGGCTCCCAAAGTCTGTTGCTACACTAGGGATACATCCTGGTTCCACTGCCAGAGACCCCATAGACTGCCCAGTGCTCCTAGCTGACACGCAGGTTCAGGGGGCCTGGTTCAGTCCTATGTTGGTTCTCCAGAGGTCAGACTGGGGTCCATGAGTTCCCATTTGTTCTGTGGGTTTTCCCAGCGTGGTCTTGGCCCCTCTGTCTGTCACTCCTCCCTCTCTGAAACTGGGTTCCAGGAGCTTTTGCTTCCTCAGTGCTGAGACTAAAGGCATGTGCCATCATGCTTAGCTTCACATTCCATTCTTTAACCCCCCCCCCTCACTGCACCAGTGGGGATATCCTGCCTGGAAGGGTGATACTACAACATGCAGCATTCACAGCTAGGCAAGACTGCTGATGCACTTTTCACCAACAATATGCGTTAGCATCCTCAGGCTCCATGAATGCTAACAGCAACTTCCAGCTCAGTTACAGCTTATTTCTCTGTGTCCTATATTCAAAGTGCGTGGAGTTCTCAACGATAGAGTCAAATCACCTAGTTCTGGGGATCAGAGAGCGGTGGCCATACCCTGTATTGTTTTGAAACCTCTGGGGTCTGACAGGGAAGTATCCCACGCCTGGCACTGGGATCCTCATTTAAAACAACAAACAAACGAAAACCTATGACTTCTGGGGACAGCACCATTCACCCATGGCACCTATGCTCAAATTCCTTTTTGCTCTTTTATAGCTTTCATTCTGCTTACAAAGCAGTAGACTTCCATATGGCCCTTCTAAATATCCTCTGCCTTGGTACACCCCGCCCCTACCTTCCCACCGTTTCCTGTGCAAACCTTCCTGCCCCCACCCTGATTCCCACATTATGTGTTTTACTGCTCCCCCTAAAAAGTATTTTACACACACACACACACACACACACACACACACACACACCTCTCAAGTATCTTTTCTTGTTTCCTGGCCTCTACAGATGTTTATTCCAACTTAAAACACCAAAGTCTAAAACTTCAAAATCCAATCTACATATGAGAGAACAACTGTATTTGTCTTTGTGAACCTGGACCTGGGTTACCTAACTCAGCATGGAATTTTGCAGTTCAATTCATTTTCCTGCAGATTTCATTTTTCTTTTTATTTTCTTTTTTTTCTTTACATTAGAAACAAGCTTGCTTCACACGTCAATCCCAGCTTCCTCTCACTCCCCTCCTCCCCCATCCCCCTCATTTTTCTCTACTAGTGAATTCCAATGTGTGTGTGTGTGTGTGTGCCTGCACGCGTGCTCCCATTGTCTGTATTTATTCATCAGTTGGTGAACATCTATCTAGACTGATTGAATCGAGAAGCAGGAAACATGTTTATACAGGTATCTCTGCCATAAGGTATAGAGCCCTTTAGGTAAATGGCCAGGAATAGTATAGCAGAGTTATATGGTAGTTCTACTTTTGGCTTTTTAAGAAATGTCTACACTGATTGTCAGAGCGGCTACATCAATTTCCACCCCAACCATAAAGGTTCCCCTTCCCCTATATCCTGACCAGTGCTTGCTGCCATGTTTTCTTTTTGAAGTAAGTGTATTACTTTTATAAATTAATTAATTTTGTGTGTGAATGTGTGCGGGTACATGTCACAGCATGTGTGTAAAGGTTAGAGGACAAGTGAGAGTCAGTTCTATCTTTTCACTATGTGGATCCCAAGGAATAAATTCAGGTCATCAGGCTTCACAAGTGATTTTACTCTTACTGGCCCATTTTCTTTATAATAGCCTTCACTAAGGGACTCAGTGTAGGAACCTAGAGGCAGGAACTGAAGCCGAAGCCAAGGGGAAATGCTGCTTTCTGGCTTCCTCCAAGGCTTGCTCAGTTTGCTGTCTTCCATATCCCAGGACCAACTGCCCAGGGGTACCCCCCCTCCACAGTGAGATGGGTCTTCCCACTTCAACAATTAATCAAAATGCCCTACAAATTTGTCTACAGGCAATCTGATGGAGGCATCCAGGCTCCTTCCCCAAGATAAATCTAGTTTATGTCAAGTTGACAAAAACAAACCAAACAAACACAAAAACCAGGACAGCACTTAAATAGAAAGTTTTTTTCGGCTGTAGATATTTTAAAATTAAATTATAATTACACTTTTCTCCTTCCTTTCCTCCTTCCAACCCCTCCTTTGTCACCTCCACCCCTCTGCCTTGCTTCCTCTCAAATCCATGGCCTTTTAGTTATTGTTTTACACACACACACACACACACACACACACACACACACACACACCTTTGGGTGGTTTTAATGGCAACAATTTTCTCCTGTATATTGCCTCTTCACTTGATTGGCAGCTTCCTTTGCTGTACAGAAGCTTTTTTTAAGTTCATAGGTCCTATTTGTCAATCGTTGGCTTTATTTCCCAAGTGACTGTGGTGACTATATTGCCACTTAAACCTGTACTTATACGTATATCTTGTATACTTATGGAACTTAATATGTAGACTAGCCTGGCCTCAAACTCACATAGATCTACCTGCGTATGACTCCTCAGGGCTATGATTAAAAGCCTGCACCACAAATATTGATTTTGTCAAGAACTTCTCTGCATCTATTAAAATAAGTGTATGCTTTCTATCTCTTGAGTACTTTTATGTATTGAATTACATGTATTGATTTATGTATGTTGAACCTTCCCTAAAACTCAGGAATGAAGCCAATTCAATCATGATTGTGATCGTTTTTGATGCTTCCTTGGTTTGCAAGAATTATGTTTTTTGTTTGTTTGTATCTTTGTTCATTGGGAGATTAGTCTAGTTTTTTGTTGTGTCTTTATCTGGCTTAGCTATCCATGTAAAGCTGATTTCATGAGTGAATCTGGAAGCATCCCTTCCTTTTCTGCTTTGCAGAATATCTCGGTGAGCACTGATCTTATTTCTTCTTTAAAGGTTCAATAGAATTCTGCAGAGAATGTATAGGGACTGGGAGTTTTAAATAGAAGTTAATTTTATTACTGCTTTTATCTTGTTTGTTACAGGCTTGTTTAAATGATTTAGCTCATCTTGGTTTAATTTTGGCATGTGCATCTAGAAATTTATTAGTTTGTTTTAGATTTTCAATTTTGTAGAGTGAGGTTTTTTAAGGTATGTCATTATGATATTCTGAATGTCCTTGGTATCTGTTATATTGCCTCCCTTTTCACTTCTAACCTTAATGAGTATTCTATTTCTTTTGGTTAATTTGTCTAAGGGTTGTCTATTTTGTTTCTTTTCAAAGAACTTTTTTCATTGATTCATTAAAATTTTCTATTTGTGTGTATGTGTGTTTATGTGTGAGGGTAAACCTATATATGGTACACATATTTAGGTCAGACACCTTGAAGGACTTGGGTCTCATCTTCCACCATCTGGGTCCCGGGGACTGGACTCAGGTTGGGACTCTTGGCAAATGCCTTTACTCACTGAGCAACCTTACCAGCCCTCATTAATCCTTTGTTTTTTGTTTTATTTAGTTGTTTTCATTCTATTTCATCAATTTCTCCCTTGGTCTTTATTTCTTCCTACATACTACTTTTGGGTTTGGTTTGCCCTTGCTTTTCCACAGCCTTAACGTGCATATGCCATTATTTATTTAAGAGCTCTCATTTTGTAATGCAGGCACTTAGAGCTACAAATTTACCCCTTAGGACTGAATTGCCTGCATTGTAGCCCATAGGATTTTCTATGTTGTATTTCTGTTATTGAATTCTGGGACCTTTTAAATTTCTGTCTTGGTTTCTTTAATGACTCAGTTGTCATTCAACAGTATGTTGTTTAATTTCCACAAGTTTATTGACTCTTTTGCTGATTTCTAACTGGTCAGAGAGAGAGAGAGAGAGTACAAGTATTTCAATTTTCCTATACTTGTTGAGACTTGTTATTTTTCCTAACATGACCTGTTTTAGCTTATGTGTCATGGACTGCTAAGAAGAATGCATATTTTATGGAATCTACAAATGAGTTTTAAGTACTCATAATGTGGTGCCCTTTAATGCCAATGTTTCTCTTTGTTTTTGGTTTGACCTATTGGTGAAACTGAGGTATTAACATCACCTACTATCAATTGCTCTGTTACATTAATTTGTAGTAGTAGCAGTACTAGTTTTACGACATTTGGGAGCACCTGTGCATGGCATGTGCAAGCTTAGAGTTGTAATGTCCTCTTCTTGAATTATTCCATCAGTATAAAGTAATCTTTATTTCTTGAAGTCTGTTTTGTCAGAT